AAGAAAAAAGGATGCCCCCCCCCCCCCCCCCCATGTCTCTTGGCTCTTACTCTGCCCAGCTCCGCTGGAAAAGTACGTTTGCTGCAGAAACTGCTACAGCCTGTGACTCCTCCTCAGGTTGTCAGCTTGGCCCTGTGTAGAGGCTGTTGAGGTCATCGACTCTGCATGGGACACCAGCACCCTGGAGAGCTTTAGTCCCAGTCATTCCTTTCCCCTTGGGCAGCGGCGGTTCTGTCGCTGCTACAGGCAGCTGCTTTCTCGAGGGCACGGGGCTAGGATGAAAACAGGCTGCGGCACGCTCCAGTCAGACTAAGATGCTGTTCTCTGGGGACCCGGTGCAGGGAAAGCTGAGGTACTTTCTGCACTGCCAACGCCTCTTCACAAGGGAACGACGCTCTGGTTTTAGCAGAAAAAGGTGTCGGTCGCAGGCAGCCACGTATCACCGTGCACAGCTGTTTGGCAGGTGTCTCGCTTGTTCAAGTAGAGGCGTATTTCTTGCCTTGCGGTCTTGATGCCAAAACAATGAGGGGTTCAAGTTACAAAAGCCTTTTGCCATCAGAGCAAGATGACAGCTAGATTTCTACCAGCACTGTATTTCAGCTATGTTGCTAGCTGAAAATGGCTTGCAGGCCAGGAGATTTAGAGGGGTCTGAAGTAAAGAAACTGAGTGTTGAAGTGTTTGTTTTAAGGAGGTGAACTGGGCAGCCAAAGGAACTGAGCTGCTCACCTGACTCACTGACAGAACGGCCCATCCAGCCTGCTAAGTATTGCGTGTTGCAGGCAGCAAAGTGCAGCCGTGACGCTTGCTGGCGGGAGCAGCAGAGTGCAGAGCTACGCCTCTGTACAGAGCAAAGATGGAACCTCCAGGTCTCTACGGTCATCTGCTAAGGACATCTAATATACTAACATGCCCCTTTGCCTTCCCTGCTTCACGTCTAATTACTTTGCAGGCTGGAGGGCAGGGTGGTAAGTAACACCATGCAGTGTCTCTTATCTAAGTCACAAGGCCTGCACAGGAAGCCTTGCGTGTATGCAGGGTTAGGAGAGCAGATTTTTGATAGCACAGAGGTGAGGAAAGGTGCAAACACCACAACAAAGCCCAAGGCTAACCAGCGTGTTGCTCATTTGCAGATCAGCCGCTTGCACCTGGTCCGCTCGGACGTGCTGTTTCCTGCTGAACAGAGCTGCCTCTCTGGCACAAAGCAGCTTTCGGTCTCTTCTGGCCTGCCTTCGGGATGTCATCGGCGTTGCTTTATTTTTTTTTAAATCTCTTGCCAGCATCTGTTGGCCCCCCACAACCCTGACGCCACGTGCAGACCCGCACAGCGATCCCTGGGGGGCAAACCCCCACCTGTTCTGCAGGTTCCCTCTGCTGCTCCTCCTCCCTAAGTTATGGGGGGGTGGCGGGAGGGACAGGAGCAACCCCCAGACTCCTAAAGCAGTCAAATCCAAAGGATGGAAACGCTCCAGCCGCCTCGACGCTTTTCGGTACGGAGGCAGTGAAGGTCACTGCCCGGGCTGCCAGTGGGAAGAGGGCAGGGAAACGCACGCCCTGTACCCCCAGTGACGGCCGTCGGCTGGTCTAACTGGGCTGAGGTGTC